TTTTTTTTTTTTTTTTTTTTTTTTTTTTTTTTTTTTTTTTTTTTTTTTTTTTTTTTTTTTTTTTTTTTTTTTTTGAGGTCGCGCGCTGTACCGCGCTGCGGTGCGGCTGAAAAGAAGAAAATAGCCCCATGGTTGGGCCACGGCGGAGATGTCTCGGCCACAGCCCAGACTGGCCACGGCCGAGATGTCTCAGCCACAACCGAGATTAAACCACCACTACCCTTCAGGGGCAAATGCAAAGTCTCAAGAGTAGCCTACTCCGAAGAAGAGGGGGGCTCGGGGCAGGGAAGGGGGCCAAAAAAAAGAAAAAAGAAAAAGAAGAAAACAAAAAGTAAAGAAACGAGGAACTTTGAATCCAGCTACGTGGGGAAGGCCCTCACGTCACCAGTGCTTTGAGGAATGTATCTGGCCAGGAAGTGAGAAAGATGAAACGGGTCGTTTTCATTTTTTGTCTCTCTTTGTGAGGTCCCTGTAGCGCCCTGCCAGCCAGGCAGGGCGGATTTCACGCGAGGCAGCTAACTGCCTCGCTTTCTTTCTGGTCCAGACAAGTACTGTGGCATCCTGTATCGCACCGCAATCACAGCATAAGGGATGCTTTTTTTTACCTGCTGGTCGTGGATAGACTGAACTGCCTACGGCCGAGTTTCAACTGCAATTGAAACTCGGCCCCTGACTAAAGTGCCAAATCGGTGTTTGGAATGCAATTACAAACCATTTTCGTGACTGTGTCGAAGTTACCCCAAAAAATGAACATGGAGGCCAAGTGCACTCGGCCTCCGACGGCAGCCAGATGCGCCGCAAAAACTCGGCGTGCAGGGCCCGCGTCCGATAGGCTAAGTTGGGAAAGGTACTGGCGGTTTGATCAAAGCTACCATAAATGGGGAAGGGATGAAAAGAAACCAAAGGGGAAATGATAATAGGGTCGTGTTTCCCAGACATTATCACAATGATGTTACCATTACGACATATTAAATAAAAAAGCACAAACAAAAATGGAAACATCACATGAGTGTGAGGCTGGGCAGGCTGAGACTGTCGTTTCCAGATTCAATTTGGGGGTGGGTGGGTCAAAACTCAAACTCTATGGACCTACAGTGGGCCTAGCTCTCTTTTTAAGTTTGTCACTGGGGGATATAAAAAGGAACCCCAACTTGAAGTTAAAACTTTGGCCCTTGATCTTGTGACGATCTGTTTTCTGTAAACGCACACCTTTCTACACGACGATATCTCGGTGGTTGATCAGAAGGGCCCGCCCAATTGCATGAATGCCCCCGTCTCCTTTTTTTTGACAAGGCTTAGCCCCATGGCGGTTGGTGATTGATCGCGCCTTAGCGGGCGCGGAAATAATTGTTGTCGTAGCTTCTTTCTTCTTCCTCTACAAGTGGGGAAGGGAACTTTGGCGTGAAAATCACGCGAGAGAAATCTTTTTAAATTTTGAAATACGAGGGATTACGAAAATTAGGACTTTGGGGGCATCATAATTTGTCACAACCTTTTGCTGTTGTAACTGCACAATGCTCCTTACTCGCGCGCACATTGCTTCATCGTCCTGCCCTGCTTGTGACCAACCACTTCCCGACCCCGTGCCATCTTTCGTACCCTTTCTTTTGCTTGTATCGTGCCAACCCCAAGAAAACCCTGTTTTGAGTTCTTGCTTTCGGGTGCCGCATTTTCTTTTTTGAAAGCTTTTTCGACTGCTGAGTTCTGTTTTTCTTCTTGCAAAGTCGGGAAATACATGGGAATTTACGTGCGCCTTAGCGAGCGCACTGGGAATTGGGCTCGGTAGTTAAGAATACCGGGATAAGCGGAACTTCGACGTGTCCTTTTTGGGTGTGTGAATGTTCTTGGGCGGGTAGGGGAAAAGTCTCGGAATTTTGCGTGAATACGAATAGGCGGAGGATTTTTCTTTCCCGCGTCGCTTTTTCGAGCGCGGATATGGTGATTTTAATTTTGAATTAGGATAGAAGCAAACTGTAACTGTTTCGGTGCCTTTTTCTTTTTTTTGTTGACGGCGCCGTGCATGCAAAAGCTTCCTCCTCTCTGTCCCCAACATCGCTCCCTCTCGCGCCTCCCTTCCCTTCTCCCTCCTTTTTTTCTCTCCCCGTAACTGTTTTTCCTTCTCCCTCTCTCTCTCTCCCGCCTTGCTTTCGCGCGCCCATTTCCCTCTCTTGATCATCTGAATCTTGGACCCGTCTTGCGCCACCTCTCGCGCCTTTTCTCTTCTCACCCTCTACGTCTGGCGTACGACGCCCGATCGATCCCCCGATAACTCCCGCTCGCCAATCAGGTGCGTGGATCGATAGGACCTTCCTATCGCGCGACGAATCTGATTGTTTGAACCTTGAGTTCCGCGGGATCAGCATGGCGTTCGTAAAGCACTCTTCTCAAAGTCTTCTCCTCCTGCTTTTCCTCTTACACCTCACCTTTCCTGTCGCCTTCTCCCCCTTCTATCTCCCCTGTCGCAACTATAAAACCTGCAAGAGCGTCCGCAAATCTCTCTTACGTTCTCAACTCCTAAGCCAGCTTCCGGGAAGCAGTGGCTAGGTAGAGTGGATTGATGCGAGTCGGAAAGTCCTGTCGGGCTGACGATAGGCTGGCCGGTTGCGCGCTTGATCGCCACGACGGACTGTGGGATCCGGGCGAACCGTGTCGAGTTTACGACAGCGGGGTGACGATTGCAGTGGTGGGAGTTAGCACGCGACGGCCGGGATCGCCGGTGCGGGTATGAGGTTCGATGACTGGAGTTGAGTGAGTGATTGGCCCGGGGCATAGTGGAATTAACGGCGAATGCGCCTTTGTTGCGGATTGTTATCCTTGGCGTGAGTGTAAGGCGGTGACGCCGAACTTTTCTCTTTTCGGACCTTGTCGTCTTCTGTTTTGACTCTTTCTCTCTCTCTCTCTCTCTCTCCTCTCGAATGATGATGCGTCTGAATGATGGTCTCGCTCTTGAATGGAAATGAGTCGGCATTCTTTATGAAAGAACTTCTTCCGGAACTCTTCCATTAGTTTCCTGGGTAATCCTCCTACGCAAGGACCCTGTCTTCTTGTCTTGTGAACGGTGGATGCGTGTGTACTGAGCAATGCGACCCATCTTTTCCTGTGCATGTCTCATTTTCGCACCTTCCACAGTGAGTGCACGTGTGAAATGTGTGACTCTTTTGTTGATTAGACGATTGTCGTCGGGATTTTGTTCGTGAATGCAAAAGTGTTTTAGCATGCCATCTGCCTTATGCTACACGACATCAGCAGCCGAGCCACGAGGTGGCCTCGAAAAACAAGGGGCCAAGAACTAACGTTGTGTTGAACTGATCGGTCCCTTAGTCATCTACATGATCAGGCTGATCTGTGTTTGCTTTCTCTCTCTTGTGTCAAAAAGATTGATTGGGGAACGCGCGAATTGCTTTTAATGATGTCTCGAAATATTTTGTGATTGATTGACATGCGGACTGACAAATACCCTCTGAGTGGGTGCCAGCCTCCCGTATCTCCCATCCCAATGCGACCTTTTCCCTACAGTGAGGAAAGAACACGTGTATGTGAGTGGGACGTACGAGAAGCCGTTGCACAAATCGGCGGGTAGAGTATTACTTCCCTCCGGCCAATCGCTGTTCTAGGTTCGTAGAAGCCGGGTTTGTTATTATCGATACGCACTTCCCAMCTTACTCGGTATTGTTGCCATTTAACGAGTTGATCGTCATTCCGTGGACGACAGTAGAACCCCACTGGCCGCGCACTCTGTGCACCGAATGTCAGCGTTTTGAGCGCTACGAGTCCAGGGGTTTCCACTACCGTGTGCGGAGTGAAGACGAGCATAAAGAAAGAGCCACGCGACTGAGACCCTCCACGTCGGACTCAGAACTAACCAGCGAACGACGACGAAATTTTAAACGAAAATGGGACACGCGAAGCGTGCCCAAGCCTTTCTGTTCTAAACGACGGGCTGTAGCCCGGTGGGAGGCACGACAATACTTTCTGGATTGAATTTGGATCTTTCCCTCTCTTCCCGCCTTGCCCGCGCGCGCATTTCGCAACGCGCGAAAATGATCGACTTGCGCCATCGGACCAACACGGGGGATTTCAGTTCCGTCTGTGTCCCCACACTCAATTTCCAAAAATCCTTGGCACACCCTATCTTGCTGTTTTTTTGGGCCTCTTTTCCGCACAGCTAACACTCCGAACGGAAGACAGCACAGGGCGTGAGGTTGCACATCACATGCGCTCTGCTCCCGCCGCGCCTAACTTCTAATCGCAAGTTCGCAACTGTAATCTCTTCTTGCTCCTTCTTGGCGAGCGCAGGTGTAGCTGTAATCCTCTCCTTCTTGATCCCTTTCCGCGCTAAAACCTGCGCCTCTTTACTGTCTATCTCATTGACCAAAAGGTTGCATGACTGGATCGATGCGTGGAGAGTGGTTGCGTCCCCCATGCCACGGCCCAATCATGCAGCTGTAAGCACTTCCTTCTTCACTTTCTCATCCTGCTTCAGCGTAATCCGAAATTATCTCATGCAAGTACTAAGTGCTATAAATTTTGGAAGCGCGAGTAATTCGCTCTCTAATCTACACTTGGGAGTTAGCGTGGTCGAGAGGATCGGCTAACGAGCGGAGACAGAACGGTGAGTAGGGAGTTGGGCGATCCGACGAGCTGGTGCTGGGTATGCGGGTTGACGTGTGGCCACGAAGAACTGTGGCATACGGGCGAACCAGGCTTGCATGCTCGAACTAAGCAGGATGACAACTTTGGATTGTTGGTAGGTGCGAGGCGACAGACTGCCCTCATCCTGAGAACTGAGAGAGAGAGAGAGAGAGAGAGAGAGAGAGAGAGAGAGAGGGGAGTTGAAGTGGTGTTATCTCTTTGCGTCCTCTGTATAATTTTGATTTATGGATTCGGCCATCTTCGTTTGCGACACTCTCATATTTTCTTTTCCTTGGTTGATGTGTGAATTATCCTTATCTTCCACATTTCTTCCTTTTCAGTACCGAATGTATGACGATTGTCAAAATTGATTGATTGCTTGAATGACTTTCAAGCATGGAGGGTTGTCGATCGTCGAGCCAAGCAATTATGATATGTATGGAATAAGCGTTTTGAAAGATGTATGGAACCCCCCCCCCCTTTGCACGCCCATGTTTCTGTGTATGTAGCATCGATCGATTGTCTATTTTCTTGCGTTAAGCCTGTAAAAGTTGTCTCCCTGAAGCAATCCGAGTCAGGACAGATGCGTGCATAGCAGCTAGTTTATAGTCCGTTCGGAGACCGCTTTGGTGCACGCGCCTAGGTAGGGGTTGAAACTTCCTCCGGCATGGCCCATGCACGATGGACATCTGATAACTTTTTCCTTTTGCCTGTAAGATGATAAATGTTGCATCGAACGATTGTCTGATTTGCATTAAGTATGAGGGTATCGTCTCTTCATAGTAATACCAGGAGTAAATTAGATGTGTGTAGTAAATTGGCTCGAATTTTGTTGAAGATAGATCATGTGCATATATACGAATGGCCGCCAGCACGACAGTCATCACGTACACGCGTCTGCATGACCTGTCCCCAACCCGATTGCGCTTGGTACACACGAATGAATGGGTTAAGTCGCTTTTGCAAAATATGAACGTCGGCGTTCCATTCTGGATCACGGACCCCAAGTACCGAGAATAGTGGGAAAACGAACAACTCTTCCGCTAATCAAACTTAAGGCTCCCGACCTATCCCTGTCAAACTGAGAACGATAGCCTATGTGCCTGGGACTTCCAAAGGGCCATCGGGCGGAATTTCTGAATCTCGGATTACCTTGACACCCGTAACCACCAGTACTACATAACACCGGCATTCGTCACCATTGATACCAACTTCTCTCCATTCTATCACCTTCCCCCTTATCATAATCTAACGGTTGTCCCCTGAGAGTCAATAGCCCCCTATTGGCCTCGGAGGCCGTGCTCTGAGTGCCAGTAGTACTACACCTCTCGAGCGGCGGGATTTGTTAGGCGAACCCGAGAACACAATCTCCCGCTAAGGCCATCCATGTCAGACTCCGAGATCTGTGAAACCCGTCGACGACAAGTGTTTACACAAAGAGACACCCATGGTGTTCCCTCCGTACACCGAGTACGAACCTGTCCCAAGTGACGGGGCCGGTGAAACTAGCCGCTCGGCTCTGAGAAGGGCAAAACCAAGAATCTGCTCCTACGCTGAGCCACTTGCATTCCTGTCCTTGAAAACTTGGCACCTGAGATCTTAGTTCCGGCCTGGGACTCCACCCCCACTTTCCTAAAATCCTTGGCACACCCCTACTACGCACTTTCGGCCCCCTTCTCACTCTGAAAATAGGAAGTCGCGCTGGGCGTGAGGCTGGGCGTCACAATCTTACTTGACAAAAAAAATATGCATTGTCTTGCTTTTTGCTATACTAGGTGAACTGGTCAGCACCTCTAAAAGGATGCCATTCTCAGAAACTTAAACCACGACAATAAGTATCATCATACTCCTAAAGAAACAGAGGTCGGGCCCAATGATGGAAGAACGCCGTTGATAACTCTCATCGGCGGCGGCCGTGTTTCGTTTCTGCTTCTTTAACATGAGAAAAGGAGAGGTGGTTAACGGAGGCCTCGAGTTTCAGACTTCTTCTCATGCCATTTATAACAAAACCCAGGGGTCAATTTAACCAAAAAAAAAAATTGTTTTTTTGTGGTGAACTTCATGCACCGGGGGGTGTGCTTAACGAGGTGATAGAAGCATATACCCTTTACGCAAGACCGGTGTTTGAAGGCTCCATCTATCATTGGTGGGAAGCATCCTCTTTAAGCAGGAAAGCGGGTCCAGCGCCCCTGTACATGTCAAAAGCATAACTTTAGTAGAGAAACATATGCACGAGGACATTGCTAGCATTGCTAGCAACCAAACTTACCACCAATTCATAGAGTGAAGACGATACTACTAACTTACAAAAAAAGAAAAGAAAAAAAAAAGACCCCCAAACCGTAATTTCAGTTTTGGACGCGTTACTCGGGAGCTGAAAGTGGGGGTCCCGGTTAACCACTTGTGGGGAAAAGGTGAAAAAGTGGGGTCCCGGGTAACTGAATGCATGTAGGGTGTTGTGTACTTGAGCGAGGCCCAATGTTTGTGTGTGCGTGGGATGTGCATGTTCTTGACCTGTCTCAAGTTGTTTGCGTCGAACCCCACCTGCAGGTGGACTGACATGCAAGTCCGAAAGGAGACCGATTTCACACAAACAATTTTCGTGTGCATGGAGTGTGTGTGTGCGAGTGCATGCCATCATCTCTCTCTCTCTCTCTCTCTCTCTCTCTCTCTCTCTCTCTCTCTCTCTCTCTCTCTCTCTCTCTCTCTCTCTCTCTCTCTCTCTCCAGATGTGAGCACATGTGATCCTTAAGGGAGGTAACCCCCAACAATAGTGAATCGATCAGGATTGTAAATAATACCCTGTTCACTACCAGTTGCACGTGTGTTTTCTACAACCTTT